TCAGCCTCAAACTATTAAAGCACACGACTCGTGAATTGTGGTCGATTGGATGTATGCATTCATGTTTTGTATTATGACCGAGCTTAGATTTTTAATATATAACTGATAATCAGCAGAAAAAACAGAAATAAAACATGCACTGATTGAAGGGTAACAGATTAGAGAGTATACGTTTTTATATAAGGAAATAACATCGTTGATGCCCAGTAATTCAATGAAATTACTCAATAAAGATGAGTTACTTACTTACATAAAAGTTGAATATCACAATAAAAAACAAAATAGCATTCTTTCACTTTGCAGTGTCATTTTGGAAATTTGAGAGTTTATAGTTAAATGTTTCGTTCGGGAAGTGACAATTATGGTTGAAAAAGTGGTGAAATATGAGTCTGTAATGACAAATAAATATGTAATTTAATTAAACGTATCTGTCTTCACCCACCAACGTACCAAGTTGGTGAAGCCCTCTCCATAGACCCTGTATACTTCATCATTCACGTATGTTTCTATTCCAGGGAAGTAGACCATGATTCTAAAGACATCGTGTTTAACAAACAAGGCCGCACCAGGGTGCCGTGATGGATGGATAAGCCCAGGGGTTGGGGCAGGTACCTGCGGAGACGAGACCATCGACTTCTTGTCAAACATACGTCTTCTAAAGAAACCAAAGATCAGGGTCACTGAGCTAAACAAATTATGACGGCTTCCATTTATAATGTGGGTTTTTGCGAGGCACCAACACAGCGTGCTTCGCTCTTTCTACTGTTTTATATCCCTTCTCGACGACACTGAAATAACCGAGATAAAAGAACTTACATTCAATTAATGCAAAACGTGTTTTGATTACAAAACGATGAACTAAACATCAATAGAGTCAAACTAGTCTAGATGACACCCTTTCAAACATTAATAATGAACTAACCAAGTACTATATATCCGTGCTGTATGCTTCTATTGGCGTACAGATACTAGAAATTTGTAAAACAAGCTTATAATCTCAAATTATTTTAATCAGGCGAAACACCGTATAATGTGAAACTCGCTAAAAACGCAAAGATGCTCAATGGTTAAAACTCGACACTGATACACGACATAAAAAATTGAGCACGCGAAACTCTAGGACCAACAAACAAATTAAATCCATCTAGTACCTACCCCCTTTGGGTGTACTTATTTAATTGATATTTAAGGTTTCAGTTCGCACCTTAGAGATGAGCTAATTAGAGAGTACACCGAGTGGCAAAGAACTTGAAATTCACTCGACAGATGTCATTATCATAAATGAATTGATCTTCTCAGGGTGAGCTCTGTATCAGTCAATTCCTTCATCGTTGAAATGCTGCGTTGTTTTATTAAATCGCTTATTGTATGCTCAATCAGAAGTATATAAAACGCCAATATTTGCACCATTTAGAACTTCCAACATGGCCCCTTAGGCGGGAATGTCTTTAATTTGTAATGTTTGATCTTTTTTGACACATTAAAAACGCGAGTTCATTGATTGTATGAAGAAGACATCATTGAAAACGTTTTGCTGGCTGCGCTTGGACAGTCAAGGCCTGTTCTGTGTTAGTAATGACACTGTCCCGTTGCTTTATAGCTCTAAAGCTGTTATCGTGTTGATCGCTTAAAGTCATTTATTAACCGAGGGAACATTAAATATGTCTATGTGTTTTAAATTGAGAATATTATAAACACAAATCATATGCGACATTGCGAGTTCATTTTAACATCACCTCTAAAAATAGCTATCTTGATTGAGGTTTTATAATTGTCGTAATTGAATTATCGGGGCTTGCTCTATTTATTGAAAAGTACATGTACGTAGTGGATTATTTAACACATTACGTTTATTTCCGATTCTTGTTCGGTTTATGCATTATACTTTTTAGGCAGTATTATATGTGTCTTTATAGTGTGCCTTGTTTGGTGTACTTAACACATTCAGAGTGACAGGGTTATTCGAATAGACAAAACACAAATTCAGTTATACAGGTTAATTAATGGGAGGGGTGGAATATGAATTTTATTCCGAGGTAGAATCATATTGAACTAGAACGTTAGCCTAAATAAAAAATCTTATTCCATAATAACATGTTTTCCCTGGGAAAATAACAGGGAATAAAAGTGTTATTTGAAAAATCCCGTATCAGATCCCGTATCAGCCAAAATCCCGTATCAGATCCCGTATTGGATCCCGTATCAGAAAAAATCCCGTATCAGATCCCGTATCAGAAATATTCCCGGTAATTTCTCTTGAGTTTTACGCTTTTCGTCTAGCACATCTCTACAGGAAGTAAAAAAATCGTTTGGAAAATTGAAATTATTGAAATTATTATCATCTAGTTTACAGAGGATGTTGATGACTTCATTAAAGGTCAAGAAAATATCAATTTATTTATATATTTATATTTTTAAGTAAAACTTGATAATAAAAGTTGAAAATGTTATATGATAAATTGTATAATTTTATGTCACAATCATTGGATGATGACATACAAAAATTGAAAAAAAAATATTATGAAATAAATAGGTTATTGATGGGCGTGATGGAATATGGATTTATTCCTTGAGAAAATATGATATTGGCCTCAGAAAATATCATATTTTCCCTCGGAATAAAATCCATATTCCATCCCTCCCATTAAATAACCTCTATATATTCTATCACGACCAGCGATAGCCTATTTATTCCATAATATTTTCTGATACGGATCTGATACGGGATTTCGCACTCGTTTCCTCGTTTGATTTTCAATCAGATGGCGGGATTTTTGGTGATACGGTCTCTGATACGGGATCTGTACTCTAAGCAGTAGACAATCTGAGATAAAGCGCCAGTGCTATATTGTATTAAATAAAAGACACGAGAGACAAATCCCAAAAGTTCATATAATGATCCAACACCCCTTAAAAAAAGTCATACGCCCTCCTTTCCAGACCAATCAGGAACCATTATTACAGTCTGGTAGAACATACTTGATGTTTCGACCTTCTTCCGATACTCCAGCTAGGATCTGAAAAGCTAATTGTTAACGTCTACTTCGATAACATTGCATAAGAATAGTGAAACAAATATAATGAAACAGTTTTGTTTATCTAATTTGAAATTTAAAATTAGGCTTCTTAAACTAAATGTCAGGGCCGTAAAACACGCAGCTGAACAATTGCGTTCGAATAAAACAACGTCTGTGTATTATCTAACAAGCCAAATCAAAGCGTAATTATTCAAATGTTACAATTTCATCATGTTAATTCTAATTCGTAAAACGTATCTAAAATACTGACAAGCACGTGCATGCTTGTTTTAATTAATCGCGCCTAGTTATTTGTTAATTTGATGATAATCATGTTCTTGATTAATCTCAAGGTGACGGCCTATGTAATATTTCCGTGCTGTAAAGCGCACCGTGTCATTTATTTGCGCTAACGTGGTGTCTGGTGTCTGTAAACGACCGAATTATGACATACTGTTATCTTTCAATCCAGTTGCGAAACTGTTTTTATTTCAGGGTTATTTAAGGATAGCTGTATATTATGGACCTAGATAATAGAGACATTTTTATTTTAATATTGTCATTAATAATGTATATGCAACTCCAGGCTTATTTTAATATCATTTGAGACAGGTTAAGCGTCGTGAAAATTGAACCCTATGTCCATGGTCACGTGTATGTCTTTAATTTTACATATGCCTATTGCGCATGTGCACAGAGCGTTAGTCATTGTTCTATAAATATTCCTCATAGTAATTTCCAGTATTCTAAACCTTAATTCCTGAACTCTTAATTCATAAAACCCCAAAATTGTCAATGTATTATTTCTACCGTTCCGAACAATCTCGTTTATTCAATTCTCAAAGATCGACTAAATTGCTTTAGTTTAGTACGAGACTACGTTTCTTCTCTCCGTAACATTTGACCATTGGACGCGATATGAGCTAGCCATAACTGTCAAACACTTTCCTATAAAAGTATGGAACCTTGTATAATTATCACAAAAACATATCCGCATGGATAATTGATGTTTTTTATTAGCTTTAGGTCTAATATAAAAAGAAAGATAATTCGGAAAACTGAAAATGTGATATTTTATGTCATTGCTAGATATATAAATTCGAGTGGTGAGTAGTCCTATGTGAATACCATTTTGGGATATCTGGGAATTTTATTGGCAAAAGCCACCCAGGAAACCTGTCATGAGACCTTCTATTAATCGCTCCAGTCTATGGAAAATGCCAGCGTCTGCCTCTGTGATCCCAATCATTTTGAAAAATTCTCCAGAAGTATCTGTTTTAAGATTTATGACGTGGTCTTGTAGGAATGCAGATAGTGGATGAAGGACGGGTCGTAAATGCCTAGTAGTTTGTTTATACTTAATATGAAAATTTATAAGATTGCTTTGTTTTATGTTATGGCCAAAACGTACGCTCACGGATGACAGCACATTGCCTTTATTTACTATGGGGCATGATCTTCTTTGAATAATTTACTTGTATTCTAAAGCTCAAAATAAAGCGCTACAATATTTGTGTTATTAACAGACGTTGCGACAACTTATTGACAATCAGCGGGCCGTGTCAAAATGGAACGATCTGAAACTTTTTGAGGCAACCCCAGGAGCATCCCCCAGACTGTACGGCACATCGTTGAATAAGCCACAAAAGTAAGTCATAAATGGAAAAACACACACAGTATCGTTGACAGTTTCTAGCTCTGCTCATTACCTCATCATTTTTTCATCCCCAATAAAAATGTCGATCAGTCATAACAGATTCTGTAATTGAGTCTTTGGCCTTAGATTCGGCTGTAATTAATATGACTTTGTGAACTGACATTAACTCCGCCTAGCTTCATCCGTTCAGCTTTGTAGTTAGCGAAGAACACGGTTAACTCCCCTCGTCAGCCAAAAGAATAAACTAAATGCGAGCGGCTCTCTTAGTATACAAATGAGTTTCTCGACCAATAGGGGCGAGCGGTGCGTATCGATGAAAATTGATACATAAAGTTTGGGAAGAAGCTCATTGCCACCGGGAAGACCTGTTATCGACTTAACACTCGCTTGGAATATATGTAGCCGAGTTGCAGTTGGTTCTGGACATTGTTTACACAAGTCGGGACCTGAAAGACTCGCCTGGAGACAGAATTTTCATAAAGAAACATCAACTTAAAAGAGAGTAGTCACACGACTGTATATCTAGACCTTATTCTGCTTATATCTCAACGTACACGAACAACTCATCTGATTCAGAATCAGAATTTTCTGACTTAAAAAGAATTGGAATACACTATGTCCGAAATGGAGGCATTAGTATCTCATTCTCTATCTATGACAAAGCCACAGATGTCAACCAAGGCTTCGGCCTTTTCAATAGCAGCGCTAATCGCACCGGACGATGATGATATTGACACAGAAAAGGCGAAGATTCCCGATATAGCCGTAATCAAGACAATAAAAGAACCAGTTGAAACTGTCATGTCACCATTAGGTAAGCTACAATTGTATTTTGTATTTAGGGGGTCAGTCTTTGTATATACATACATCGTATCTATGTATTTATCGCGATGTATTAACCACATAAAACGCATAAAAACGGTATTTCTAGTTGTTGATTTTTTGTGCAGTAAAAACAAATTTTATTGCGTAATACAAAAAGAACAGCCTCAACACTAATATTACTGCGAGTAATTAAAATGATGAATTTGTACAAACTGACGACAACTAAAAGTACATGCACACATAAAAACTAATCTTCATTAATTAAATAATATTAAAACAAGAAGCCCCAATAAATACAAATTTAAATAAATACAAACTGAATTAAAAGTCCTCAAATATTATAAAAAGATGATGGATGATTGACGCGGCAATGTATCATTATAAAGATTAAGCAAGATATTAATCATTATATATATTAAATATATCAAATATTTAAAATAACTAGTAATAATGATTGGTAGTGTTCCTCAATCTATTTCCCGTGAAGTTATATAGACATCCGTTTATATTTAAATAATTGTCAAAGCTAAAAGCCAGTGTAAAGAATAGTAATACATTTGTATTTATATGATAAAGATAATGGTTCCATTGTGGTATTCCCTACCAAGTTTTCACCATATTGGTCCAATTAAGGGATAACAGACTTTATATGCTCAGCGTTTTAGCGAATCGTTACTAATTACTCTCGGAGAGGATCACAATCCTCGTGCATTTAACCATGTTATTCTTCCTTAATTGAGTAAGCGAATAATATGAGATTTAAGTCCTAATCATGTACTATTTGGTATCGTTCAAATGTAATTGAAATGCACCCATGGGATCGGAGACTTTCGCTGCTTGTTCATTTGCAGATATATTCTCGCCAATTTTGACATAATTGTAGCGCTTCTTGCCTGGACATTGTTAATTAAAAGAAAAAGCAATTGACTAATGAGGGCATTGGCACAATGGCGATATTGTTACACCAGAAACGGGCAAAAGTACAAAAAACAATTATAAAAACACAAGACAGGTCTATAAAACATATAAAATAAACCAGAACAGAAAAAAGTATTGTGAGCAATCAAAACATACAAAATAAATTAAAATCCAACTTTTGCGATTATTTAACCACATATGGCGCTTGGTCAAAGAGAAGAACATTTCATTGATACGAACAGACAAGGTAAAGAACCGTGACAAAAAGATGACAAAAGATGCTCATTTGAACGGCCTAGATAAAAGCGACCGCTTAACTTTAAGGTAAAATAATTTACAAATCATCTTGTGATTTACCTGAATTATTTGAATAGAACATGATCTTCTATCATCGTGTTCCTTTTACAGCTTTAAAGTTATATCATTCCTAAATCAATTTAAAATGATCTTTCGCATCTTAATGACTCTAAGTATTTTTTTAATTGTTTGGATATATCATCAGCGGTATGTTCAAATATGTCTCGGTCTACTGTGAATGTAGTGATTTAATTACAGGGTTCGATATAATATAAGTATATATAATAGAGGTCTGTTAGTGAGGGTAGCTAAATAAGAGTGGGTAAAAATCTGATAACAGGCTAATTATAGGCTAGAGACCGCATCCATTGGGCCGCATACTCGGCACAAAGACTCGCTTTTTTCTGCGTCACAGCATAGTCAAGCGTTTATAATGGACCCTATAATCAAGGGGATTTTTTAAACGTTATATTTTCTTCATGTGACGTGTTTGTTTAGTATCTTTCCTCACCGTCAACTTGCCTATATATCTACGGAGAGTAGAATATGATGAATATCTTGAGCTGAGACGCCATGGGGGCATCATGAAGAAGACAAGTTTAATTTCACTTGTCTGCACATCTGACAAGTTGGTATTTTACATCAAAGCTGTCATATTCTCATTGCTAAAAAACAAACCAAACCAATCAAATACATGATTAATATTATATTTAGATCAAATAAATAACAAGGGTACAGCTATGTTGATATTAGAATCAGCGCTTATAACGCAGTAACATTTCGATGACACCTTCGCTCTGAATTTTCTTACATCGTTGACAATGAACAGACAAGCAATTAAACTCAATATCGAATATTCGTAATTGATTGGGTAACCCATAGAGACGGTTGCTGTATTAACCCTTGAAAATTGTGTCCCCTCATCACATGACGATCTACTATGATTAACTAACTCAATCTCACCCCCAGTGTCAAACTCTGCCTATTTCCACAGGGTAATCATCTGGCCTTTTACAATCCAATTTTATTCTCGACTCTTCAGAAAATTAACTTTTCATCAAATCATCAAGTTAACGCCATTAGTGGCGTATCAGATGAAATCTGATGAGTCAGCAAGTTGCGACGTTTTATTGGCGTGAAATGGCAATTGGAAAATGATGTGAAAATATGTATCAATATCTGATATGATTCTTTGCGATTAATTGCTATTCGGTTGATATTTTCAGCCTTAATGCATACCAACGCCTTCGAATATTAGCTGCTCCATTGTATTAATCAAGCAATTAGGGCTGATTGTCAGAGTTTTATGAAAATATGTGAAGCTCGTCAACCAAGTTAACAAATATTTTATTCAAGGTTATATTTCAAAACCAGGCGCCCTTTTCTCTGTATAAAAGACCAAATATATTTTGAAAATTGGAATCAAGTGTACACAGTCCATATATGCATGCATTTCGATTAATTTAATTATATTTGAATCTACAATTGGCATAGATAAAACAAAACACAATAATTAATGGGTAGAAGTATCATATAATTTTTGCAATTTTTAAAGCAAAAATACCATCACATAATTTAGAATTGCTCGCCTTACACATTGGAAACTTCTCTTAAAAGCCTTTGAGCTATTTCAAAAAATGGGAGAACGCTTGATTTGATTTAATGCTTAATCATGCCAGGTCATTGTCTATGAACTTCAGAGGATAAGGCTCAAAATGTCACAAATTTCGCGACACCCGACCAAAGAATATTTCCAACTAAGTTCCCCCAACCGGAAACAGTCTGATCTAGTCATAGAACAGCACACGGCATGATTAGGGCACCTTGATCATTTTAAACCTCACAGCATCTCAAGGAGAATATTTGCAGACTTGACCTGTTTCATAAAATTCCCTTATCTTATTTTGACGCTTTCACACCCCTTTGAAAAACCTATTGCGGCCATTAAATCTTGTTCTTCAGCCGTTTATCGCTCTAACTCGTATCATCACAATATTTTCACCTTTTAAACTAGCATATATAGATACATTTTGTCTAATTTACTGATATAACCTTACGTTAGTATCAAGCAGAAGGGGGAAGCTGGCAGACTTACATTGCCTTTGAGATAACCAAATTTCTTCAGGCTCTATACTTAAGTATGTTTCGAGTAACAATCTATGCCTATATTAAATGTTCCATAATATAATGTTGATAGCCTCACATATCCACGGTCATTACAGACCCATATGAAAAAGGCGATACTTATGTAGCTGGTGTATTTGGGACTTAAATACGATCTGAAAGTGTATGGTATATGCTGCTTGATATGCATTAAATTGTCTTTAAATGAAGAAGTGTTGCAGTGAATTGTTGTTTTTGTGAAGATAAATGATGTCAGTTTCAAATTTTGAAATATCAGAGTTGTCGATTTGTATTCTTTCTGTGTTATAATAAAAGTTTTGCAATACTTTTGTGAATAATAATTTGTTTGCAGTATTTTAGAATATAGAATTATTATATCAGTGCTTCGGGCGAGTGTGCTTTTTAGATTCAAGCGTGCCTATTGATGCCAGATTCGACCATATTAAAGGGTACCGTAATCCCCCGTGACTTCATTTCCGTACACCGTACGTCAAAACATACCCCGTGAGATTTGCCCAAAAGGAAATTTAATTAGCCTGTTAATCTAAATTCTGGCAATATGGGCTTTGTTTCAACGCATCTGCCAACTCTTAACAATCAGCAATGTGTTGATAATATCACTTTAATATACTTATGTAATTACAACATCATTTCGCCAACGCGCTGAACTCTTTGTTGCCTGTCAAAAATCTAATTCTAAAAAATAGGTTAAACTTATTGTCGAATGACTTTGACAAATATTTAAATCTACGCCCCGTGCAAGCAAGCCTGCAGTGTTCTTAAATCTGTTTTTTCAATGATAAAATCAACAAATTAACATGAAACTGTACCTGATACACATTAAATAAACGTAAGTATAATTTTTCCGAATGTAATTACCAAGGATGGAAAAAATATATTTACGACTACAAATTGAACAAAAGAAACACATAATTCAGATCAATAAACACATAATCGAATAAAATTAAAATCTACCTTTTAAATGTTGTATTCTCAAAGTTTTTATATTATTGTTAAATTCTGATAAGCCGATTCGTATATGAACCACAACGAAAAGAATGCTTGCGAAATGAGATAAGATATAGTTAGACAAATTATCCTAATTTAATTAAATGTGAGTAAGATGTAGGAACATGGAAGTAAGGGGTTAGCGAAATAGGTTTTTACTTCCTATCAGGATGAGTACTTGTCAAACAATACCGTTTCTAACAATTCTGGAATATCGGGCATTTCACAAAAAATAAGTGAATTTTATTTCATTTCAAGATATTACAGGAAACTTAAATTACTCTCATGAATAAGCTATGTTACCATACTATTCCCCCAAAATGTCTGAGGATTCTGACAAAAACGTTTGGTACATTTTCCTGACCTGACTGTGAAAAATCTCAGTTCATTAAAATCTGAAAGCACATCAAAATTGTAATTTAAAAATATTCCATCTATACGAGCAACGGTGTACATTTGTCATGCATTTTTCGGTTATTTTTCTAAATGGATTTAATCTCATTCGGTCGCAGTTAATCATAGAGATGGAGTTTTTGAAGTCTTTGGTCATCGATAAAAATATTAGTATTAATAAATATAATACTCGTGTTTAATGCGTTACCTACAAAATATTAATGTATATAATAGTTATATAAAATGTTCACATTGAAGCATTTACATATACATGATATAACATCTTTTGAGATATCATATTTAGAACTTCTTCATTCTTTTAACAACACTCTCGCTCTATATAAGCTTGATAAAAACTTTTATGAAGCTGTAGTGTTCTGGGTACATGCGCTCTTAGGTAGGCAAAAGTAAAAGGAACAAAACTTAATAGGTTTGTAGTTGGCTATATAATATAATGACGTAATTTTATTATAAATTACATAATGTTATATAACAATACTTTTTGCCGATAGGGCTAACAACCACGGGTGGTGGTGGGGAATGGGTGGCTTAAAATTTAAGCATATAATATAATCTAATAAATGAAAGTCTAATGTCCTGCAACAAGAAGTATATGTGTTGCTGTATCCTCAAATAAAAATATAGAATGGCGAGATAGGGTACCTCGTGGTATCTTTCAAATGATGTATGTAATCGAGGAGCCATATGATTGGCTGAATAGATAAACAATGTGTCTGACCCAGACGACAACAACACGTGGTCCCTCCACACTCACTTCACAAAACTTTTAATCGTCTATTAAAATGAATTTATGAAGCTGTAGTGTTCTGGGTACATGCGCTCTTAGGTAGGCAAAAGTAAAAGGAACAAAACTTAATAGGTTTGTAGTTGGCTATATAATATAATGACGTAATTTTATTATAAATTACATAATGTTATATAACAATACTTTTTGCCGATAGGGCTAACAACCGCCAATAGCTGACTACGGCAGCTGCGGTCACTAAAGTAAATAGAAAAATAGAAAAACAAAAACAATTGTAAGTATGAGAAATACTGAATTCAACTTTCCATAAACTATTGAAATTCCAAAATACTGGACAAACTTCAAAATACTGGAACTACTAAATCTTTACACCAGTATCCCGTTAATTAAACACAACGGTCGATAATCCTGAGGCAAAGTTTGGAATGAACGCGGCACCAGATCGCTCACTAATCACCCTCGCCGGATCGTTTAGTTTAATTGGCTACAAAATTATGTTAACCAGTCCAAATATTTCTCATAGACCACTTACATCTACAAACACTAACATACGATCTGTTTATATGTTTATGTTAAGGGCCTGCTGCTTAAGACAGCCCGATCATTAAGCATAATGATGAGTTGCAAATTAAGAGAGATTTGACTGCATCTCAGACAGGATTCTATAGTTGGTATTATCTCTCACGTAAGCTTAATAAATCAATAATAGATTTGACAATTTACTTTAAACATCACAAGGGATATTCTTACCCAATACATACTACTTAATAACCAATCACCCAATCAGTCGAGGCTTATTGGAGAACTTATTGATAATATAAAGTGACCATTACAAATTTCAATAAGAACTTCTCAAATTCTGGTACATCTTATCAATAGTAACAGATATGTTGGTCCACCCGAGATCTAAATTTTCCATTTACCCACATGGCCCTGATCAAGTATAAATGACTATTTGCTATAAGTTGTATTGGCGATATTCAAAAACACATCTCTTCCTTCCTTTCTACAAATTTATCAGGACATGATCCAAAACCACAAATAGCAACCTTGATTGCATTTCAAGATCACAAGAACGTAAAAAACACATTGAAGAATAGGCCACATACATACTTACAATAAAATACACAAGTGCACATGGACGATGTTACAATTACATCTCGGAATTATCCCGCGGGTACAATATCAAACAAAACATACATCCAAGAACATAGTGTCATTTGTATGCTGTTGTGGCCAAGACTTTGAAACTGCGTTTGATCTTATTCAAATAGCACAGTTGTGACTATAATAGAGTCAACGATCCTTCAAATATGAGAGCTGTGAACAGAAAAATATGCTATGAGTTAAACCATGTATGGTTGATAATTTGATCAAAGAATAGGAAAGCGATAATTTTTAATTTTCTTCAAATTAGCGTCAACATCTGGTATTGTGCAGAAATGAGTGTTAGTACTGGTTTATGTTTTACCAATAATCATTTGGGACTTCTGAACACTAAAATGTCTGTATGTATAAAACAGGGACAAAACACACTAAGTTTACATAAACTGTTAACATTTTTCCGAATAACAGATATGCCAACTAACTCCACTGTTTTACTAGCATTTGCTGTGTTTTCGCAGATTTGGCATCGCTGTTCTATTCCCCTTGGCCTACGATCAATTTAAGATTTTGGCATTGGGTTGAGATTAAGGGACTGTAAATTAAACAGTACCATTTTTCATGTATTCAACTTTAATCAATGATAATGAACTTGAGTTTGTTAATCATTTGATTTCAAAGCTTTGGTGATGTTTAAATTAAGTAAAGTCGCTTTATTGTGGATCGGGGTGGTAACGTTGATTTATAGGTGTTGAAATATAAGAATCTTGAGAGTCTAATTACAAAGCCATGGGAAAGTTGCTGCTTCCCAAACTATGCTAACATTATCCCAAGCCTGCATGGGTGATTAGTAGCATAATTAATCGTTAATTATGTCCTTGCCGCCTATACGGTGGGCAGTTTTCAACTCAAACTTGATTATATTTCACCTTAATGTTGACAGGATTTCCAAGTAAACAGAACGCGCAACCTGAAGTATCCCATGTTTTCTGTAAATGTACCACGAAAACGCATTTTCCATATGATGTATATAATGTTATAATAAATGCACATCCAATACCCATACAAAGCATATAAATAAAACAAAGATAAACAAAACAATTATTTTAATGTATTTGTACAGCAAAAACTGAAATTGATTATATTTTACTTATTATTTCAGAGAAACTGGTTGAGTCAGCTACAAGCGCATATGACAGCAAATTCGCAAAATCCGAAAGTGCATTTAAAGCCACAAAGAATGAACCCATTCACAATCTTGCAACTAATGCCTTAAAGGGAAGCAAAGAGCTGGCTAATGTTCAATGTAGACTCGAGACAAAAGACTTGTGGGATAAGTTCCACGAACTAGGGACAGAGATGATAATCACGAAGTCTGGAAGGTATGGGAAATTCAAAATGTATATTTATCCAGTACCATTCATCATTCTACTAATCAGATTTTCAATATGGCGATTTAACAACTTTTTATTTATAAAAGTAAAGAAAACAATACAAAGTGGGCCAAAAACGTCAATCTTCGTAATTTTAATGGTCCACTCGGTCATGAATACTGTATGAGGTGTGTGCGTTCGATCTTGCATTTCTAGGCAAAAATACATGGTGGCAGATACTCGGGGATCTATTTTTACTGATATTGCACGTCGGTTAACCAAAGCATGTGTTTTATCATGAGTAGGCTATCATGACGACTTTCCAATAATCCAAGTTGGGTGAAAAGTTCAGATAATTTTGCAAGTGTGGTTTTACAATGGGTAATGGCTTTGGCTTTATGTGCCGCGCTCAATTGAATTTGACAGAAATACAATTTGATTCGCAATTTGCACGGTGGGTGCTTTAAAAAACATAATAACACGTTTCATAAGGTGCCACGAAGTTGCAGAACAAATATTTTGAAAATATGAACTGAAACTTGACTCTAGGCTGTCAGGTCTAAATAACATAATTAAAACATGTTTAACATTGTTAATATTAAACATATTTTGTTATTATTTGTTGACATATGTCTAAAAATCTAAAAATAGTATATCTTGCGTCGTGCATTACCTATTAAACTGAACTGAACAATAATAAGTTATATACATTTCTTACATGTTTTTATTGTATTAAAGTATGATCATGAATACACCTACCTCTTGATAACTTTTAATTGAATATATTTATAAAAAGTACTGTGCATTGTGATTGAAATGGGATTATATGGGCTATTTTAATTATAATTAAACGGGATTGCATAAGTAAATGAAAACGGACGAGTAGAGATACTAAATGATGTGTAAAAACAACATTCTGTAAAACTGACCTTTAGTACAAGTCGAAAGTTCAAGTTCAAGTTCTACTTCAATGATGAGGTATGAAAGGCTAAAAAACATATTTGTAAACTTTTTGAAAATGATAACAATTAAAAAAATAACAAAAAAGTATTAAAGTACCAAATTATGAAAAGAGCTATTTTAAACGTTCAGAGATCCCGATTTGCAGACTCGTTTATTTCGATTAATAATATGCTACCTTGGAATACAATTATAGTTATTTATGTATTAAATACATTAATGTAAACAATCGGAAAAAGACAAAGTGCAATAAAAAATACACTTTTAATTATATTAATATTAAGATCGGAACAATACTTGTAACAAGTGCATGTACCAATTATTTTGTACTAGAGAATGTAAATAACGCATTTTGGTGCCAAATTTGGTCATTAGCTGAACTTTTAACCTTTATAGTTGTATTTAAAGCCTGACTTTGAATCAAATGGTGTGAAGAACGGAAACATTATGTTTAATTTGTTTTTTAAGTCGAATTAAGTGATTGTTCCTCTTTTATTTTATGGACGTGTAGGTGTAGCAACAGAAAAGACCAGCAATGATTCACACAAAAACTGAAAACACAACTATAATACAATCGTAAGGTAGCGAATAAACGTTTAGAGCCATGATTATAATTAGAGTCGATAATGAATATTTTAGGTATCGCAAAGGTAATGCGATATCATCTAATTACATTTGTTTGTAGGTACTCGAATGGTTGTGAAGTTTATGTGCCTTTGATTTACTTGAACTTTTTTGACATTTTCAATTGGTAAAGTCAGCCGAGATCATGATTCAGATTCGGTTTTAGAGTACGATTCTGAAAACGTAAGCGAAGAAAAGTCTAATAAACGAAGCTAATAAAGCAAATTAAAATGCCGTTAAAGATGGTTTTACTTTTTACAGGGTCGGACAATAACAAAACCGTAATTGAAATAAAGCTTGCATATGCGTGTTTATCCCATACTTGGATGTGTTACAGGTACATAAAGCCAGTTTGTAAAAACCTATATTTTCATCAGCGGGCAGATATAGCTTTACGTCCCGCTCCGAGCGGGCAGATATAGTATATCTGCCCGCTACGTCATAATCGCCGCTCACATATTTGTTCATAATTTGTAACGTTCGCGTAATGACTGTAAACGACAATGGAGAAGTCACAGATTATCGGGATCTGTTTGATGGTTTAAAAAAGGGAAGGAGCATCCACGTAATCAATCAAAAATTCGAGAAAATAAATGTGGGAATATTTGAGACAACAGGAAAATCCACCCACGGCCAAGAAAACAAAACTGGACATGAATATTCTAAAATATTTCCACGATTGAACAATGTGAACCAGATAACCAAGATTGGTATGGGATAAACATATTATCCTATAGTCGGTTCAGGATATTGGAATTATCCCTTGGCCAATATAATATATTTTCCCTCGGGACCTGCGGCCCTCGGGCAAATATATTATATTGACCTCGGGATAATCCCAATATCCTGAACCTCATATAGGATAATCTCTATATATTATATGGTGTCTAGCTTAATATGAGTCACGATGTATAATGAATGGCCCATCACAACTTTCAATTTGATGATTATCTTCCAAAATATGATCAGAATCAAAGAGAGACATTTCAAAATTTGCAAGCACATATTTAGGAATTAACTACACAGGGCAAAATAGTAAGATCAAATCCAACTTCATGTAAATGAATTTCTTGGAAGAAAGAGGTAGAAGCACAAAGAGAAACACTAAATTTGAAGATCAACTTAACCCTATAAACAATATGAATTGCAAATGAAAAGAAATAACAGAGCTATCGGTAAATCTGTTACAGTTTAGTTGCTTTCGGAGCATTAATTAATGATACGGACAGTTGTTTATAAGCATATGTGACGTCGTGCTTGCATTCTTGTCACACTTAGCTAATGCCTATTGACGTACTTTAAACACAACATTGTGTGTGTTCTTTTTATTTTCTTAGTTAAAAGTCATTTGTTCTTCTCAAACCCGCATTTCAAGCATACATATTCTGAATATAAAAACTGACTGTTTTATGTTTATAATAACATGATAAACTGTAGATTGAAATCAGCATTTCAAATATGATTTAAATTGGTGCGTTTTAAAAGATATATTCAATAGTGTGTCTTAAAAAATCATTTCAGCGAAATTTATGACACGAATTAAAGAAATGTCAGCCAGATATTAAAGATGGTTATCATCGATTGGTAGACTGAAATACTTTAATCAATGTACCATATAATTAAAAATGAAATATATTAGTATTTGAAAAAAGTGTGCAAATATGTTGAAAATAAATTGGCAGCCTACTGAAAGCTTAGTCGATTCAAAGAATAATGGTTATTATGTAAATTGTATGATTACAATATCGACTTAAGAATATACAACCATTCTTCATAGAGAGACTAATTATATGTTGAAGTTAATTTATTTAATATAAAGAATGATCAAGGGATTGCTCATTTCAAGGATACAATGGCTAGATTGTCTGAATTATGACGCGATTTTTAAACGGATAATTATGGTGACAGCAGACCGCCCCCTTCGCTAATGTTTTATTTGAAGATGTGCAGTGCTATCCACCTGAATATACAAGTAAATATGTTTTATGATCGCACAGACAATTCGAAGAATGTAAAAATCGAATAGGTTAAACAATCGAACAAATAAACGTGAACATATCAAACTTCTAACAAGCACATCGCAAACACATCGTATTATTCAGGATACGTGGCTTGTACGTTGTATTTGGTTGTTCTGTTGTGATTCTCAACCTTGGCATCGCAATTGTACACATCGTCTTATTACTATTATACCCATCAACTATTATCATATTGTTAACTTTTACTTTCTCTACCTCCCATTCATAAACCATGAGTTGGCAAGCATTTTACCAAAGGATGCAACTGTCGTTTCTTGATGGTAAATGAACACATTACCATGGCATCGAAATCAGCATTAGAAATTTTTTTTGTGCATTTTTAGATCATTGATTTGGAAATGGGAGTTTGATTCTGATGACTTGTTTCGCCTTCGATGATTTTCCCTTGCTGTATTTTGTAATATTTCTAAGGTTAGCTCTTTCTTGACACACCGAAACGCTGGATTTCCCCCACTTCTCTCTCCGACACAATTAGCAAGTATATGTAAGAACATATATAGTAAATGGATGAGGGTGCTTTGTAGAATTGATGAAATCTGAAATATCAAAGATACAGCTGGACATGAAAACAAAAACGACATTTTCACTTATTGTTGACATTTGATATAAAGCTTTCAGAAAGGACGGCACATCGTATGATGTGAAATACCAATTTTTGACTATACAACAGGAAAAATTGATTTTGAGCCAGACTGGCTGTTTACCATGCATTTTATAGCGAGATAACATCTGAAGGATGTCAGTTTATATATGGCGAGTGAGAAATAATTATAGTAATGGACTTTAGCTTTCAAAGGAAACGTTGTCTTTTCGCGTTCACACCATTTTATATTGTTCTAGATGCACGGAGATACGATTCAAATGAGTGAATCAATCCGTGAACAACTACATAAACATAACTTTAGGTGACAGTAAATTTTAGTTTTTTAAGGTAAAGATTGCTTAAATATAGCGTGTTGAAAGGTTAAGCTACAGTCGCTACGACAAAGTGTCTCTAATCGTGTCAGAATTTACGACAACGAATAAATTTCCTTAACGTTACGATCTTATCAAGCTCAAAAATACCATTTCTTATAAGCACACCTTTATAGGTTTGAAAACATGAAAAGAGAAGTATGAGACTTGTTTCGAGATATACCAGGAGATTATTCCTGTAGATATAAAGATTAGGTTGCGATAGGGTGTGTGAAACATACACCCTATACCCTAGATGCTAGCCCGGGTAATATTACAATCATTCAATGTCTAATTACTTTGTTGCCGTAGTTTGAAAAGCTTGCAATGATGCATGCAATAATTAGATATATCTTTTTATGACGAACAACTTGTCTGTTTATGATTAATATCACATACAAAAGGAAGATTACATATGTTGCATGCTTAAAT